AGACACGATATCAACACAGCTACGACTGCTTCCAACTTCACCACATATTCTGATACTTCCCAGCATTCAAAATTATATCTCCAATAGGGACTTAGAGAACCGTTCAGACATTCGAGTTTATGTCAAGAAAATACACGAGGCCACAGTAGCTCGTTACGAAGCTGCTCAAGCTTTCCTTCATGGTTCAACAGCAAGTGGAAGGCGACTCGTGTTTATGAACGGTGGGACCCCGAGTGCACGAACACTTTGTATCAGAGCCATCATGGACTACGAAACAGATGGAGACTACTACCGTGCCGAGTCGCTATTCAGCCAGCTGGTTAAGGATGGAGTGGTGGGCCTGGACAATCCAGTTAGAGACTGGAGAAGGCAGGACATGTATCAACCGAAGGATAAAGGTGACCAAGAGCAGGAGCTCGAAGATCCCATAACACGAGCTATGCGAGCTGCCGACGCCTTGGACCGACAAACAGCATCACTTCAACCCTCCAATGAACTCGATTTGACCCTCACGCCTCGTCCGCGAAGTAACAGCTTGCCGCTCTACGGCTACGAGGACAACTTCGGAGATGATGCCCCATTCTTTGTTTTTGGTGCCGCGAATAAAGATGAAGGTGGGAGTACAGCTGGTGAAGCACCAGGCTGCTCTTACTCACCCCAAGCTTGCCGGTTTTCTGCGAGGCATTATGACCGGTCTGCAGGTCGCATCTATCATGATATTTCCAATCTACAGTCTCCTTCACCTAGGGCTTCTTTCCTTACATCTCCCAGCTGTATTGGCGAAGCTTACGGCTTGATGGCTGCCCCTGTATCCCCTGCCCTCGAAGGCTTGAGCCCAAGATCCGACGTTTTGAGCATCCCGTCCACAGATAATGTCGTGTACGGGGAAGCGTCATTAGTGGACATGAGGTCTCCAGGCCGCAGCCCAACTCTGTCTCGAGTCAAGTCTCTGGACAGAATCTACTCGGCCAGTCCCAGATATCGGGATCTCTGTGTTTCTGCAGCTACTTCAGGACTTGCACGGCAACTAGAGAGCGATCCGGAGCCAGAATTGTTGAAAGCGCATCGGCATTCACAAACAATAACTACAAGCCCCAAGGAGCTCGTTTCCAACAGACGCAGCTACATAGAGGGACCCCGAACTGTTATTGTGAGAACCAATCTCCCGATCATCAAAGTGGCTCCGGTTCCCTTGGACAAGAAGCGAAAGCCTGCACGGGCATCGTACGTAGATAGAGGTACTGATGCCGAGCACATTTCTGGACCAAAGGAGGCATTCCAACCAGTACTGCCCTTTATGGAGGACCTTGTGGTGCACTTCAGGGAGGAGGTCCCCGAACCTTTGCTCAATTCTGTCACCCATGGGCTTAGAATGGGTCAATTTCCCGTGGCTATTTATTCACCTACTTCCGAAACAGATGAGGGCAATGCTCTGGTTCCAGGAACACCTGAGTCCAACACTATCACAGACGTAAGCTGCGCAGAGAGCCAATACGAGGAGTCAGCTGCCACCGACCAATCGATCTTTTCGGACGAATATGATCCGTTCGCATATAACCAGTCCGTCTGGCCCAACAAGAAGCCTGTCCCAACTGTGCCCAAGCTCAAGGTTGCAAGACCTCCAACACCAGTTCGGACTCCTCCACCCCTGGTTTCGGATGTCGATAGCAAGTTTCATGACCTTCGAATTAATGGTCAAGAATCAGCCATCACTGTACAGAACTCACTGCGTTCTGTCCTCCAGGAACACTTCCCTCCAGAAACTCAAGGCTACCGGCAGTTCCAGTTTTCCCTTTTGCCAGAGCTTGAAGGACTGTGGAACCCAGTCTTTTGGGAGACTGGGAGTAACAATAGCCGTGGGCCTTGCCATAGAATCGACCAGATCCTAGCTATTGGAGCCCAGAGAGGTGTGGAAAGGGACTATACTTGCGCCATCACAGGAAAGCTTGAGAAGCTAGGAACAAAATGCAATGGTATGAGCCGAAGTGGCCGACTGGACTTCAGGTATGTACTTGACTCTGCCCCATCTTGTGCTGCTTAAAACTCACACTGGGCAGGTACCTTCTTGCCAATGCCATGCAGGCGTATACGGCCCAGCCTTTGGCCAGCCAGGCCAAAGATAACCCTTTTGCGAATTCGTTTCTACTCGCGACTCTCATTATTCCACACCTCGAAACGTATCTTGCCCTTCACGAAGAGGTGAGGTATCTTCTCCTTGAATACCCGCCTGAGCATCTTGCGACGGTGCTGGCTCTTCAAAAGCTTGTTGGAGTGGAGTTGATGAAGGTGGCTCAGATTGTTGATGCAAGCAGCAAGAGCATTCCATTCACTCATTTACGTGGAAACTCCATCACCGGCCCAGAGCAAGGATCTGTTAGGCGCCTCGGGAAGACTTTCCCACAAAACTCGGGTCCTGGCTATGACGTTACGGTTTCTGAGGCCAACTTCCTTATCACGTCAACTGCAGCTGATGCAGAAATCGCAACTTTTATTGCGACCATCTCGAGGATCCTGTCTAAGACTTCTGATTTCTATGTCACTCAAGAGCCTCCCAAGAAGCCGTCCCCAAAGAAGTCTAAGCCGCCATCTATCACAGGGACCTTCTCCCCTTTCCCACGCGTGCCATCAGCGACTCATAGCCCGCCCATGTCCCCGGCACTTGGCGCGTCTTTGGGAGCAGCACTATCAGGGTCATCTGTGGTTCCGAGTCGAGCCCCTTCCATCGCTGAAACAGTCAAGACAGCAAAGTCTTCCAGAAGCAAGCCAAGTCGATCATATTCAAAGCGGAAGCCTTCCGCGATTGATGCTCGGTCGATCTTAACCATGTATGTTGATGATAGCGACTGGGATCAAGAAGACCGACGGATTATGCCGCTCCTTGAGGATAAGGCCGAGAGGCGAAAAGGCAACTCCCACAAGGCACTTAAGTTCCTCGGCCTGTCGTGATTTCACAAAGAACGAATACCCATGGCCGTGGGAGAAATACGGCTGTAATGATGTTATGATCTCGCCCAATGTGGCATTTCTTTTGTTGTTATTTTTGGGGCGAGGATTTACAATGATGGCGGGAGGGTGGAAAAGGATAAAAGTCATGATGCTGTTGTTAATAGAGTAATGTTTGTCAACCTTTGATTCCATGTACAGTCTGGGGATAGGACCTAAGCAGTGGTGGATGTAATAATAATTGCAGATTATCTTTACTTAAAGTCGTCGGTGATTGAAGGGATTTGTACGAATAATTAGACACTGCTGTTGTCCTCATTGCTCAGTCTGCCCTGTCCAAGACTACCATCAACATCTACACCAGCTTTTCTCTGTGTCTTGATCTCTTCTCTGGCCTCGGCCTGCTCAGACTTTTTTCTAGCATGGCATTAGCTTCCATATACTGAACGGGCTATATATTAAGACGAACTTTTCAAGATCAGAGGTATAGTCCTCAATCTTGATATCATCCTTGCGTGGCTTATCTCTGCTACTCGTTCCCTTTACTGCATCGGCGACTTTGCCTTCTGCAAGGGTAGCTAGTTGCTCTGCATTCTCATTGTCGTTTTGGAGGGGAGCTTCGGACTGCTTTGACACTTGACTTTCGACGCTGGCCATTTTGAAAGATCGTGAAAGGCTGAGATGTGTATTGGATAAGATGATTTTATTTTGCGTATATATATTGGTGAGAGAGAGTTACTGTAAATGAAATTCTTTTGTTGAAAGTGTGCATTGAGAATGACATCAGGCTGAGAGTGGTTGATCTATGACGTATATCGACTCGGTTATCATCGATGAGGAAGATCTTGCATGAAGCGTGTGTAGCGTAGACTAAGCATCTGAGCTTTATCTTTGTGTCTTACATAAAGTGTTTACACAATGTCTCGAACTGTTTGCTTAAGTTGTATAGTTAATGGTTAAAGTTGGCGCGAAAGAGGTGTGCTTGAGTTGTCTGACGCATGAGCTGTCTTGTAATCTTGTAACCAGTTGAATGCGACCAAGGACTTCAGTTGGGCATTTGAGACTGTATTGGTGATATCTATGAGATATACCACAGAGCCTCGGTCATGAGTTCGTTCTATGCCATGACCTCACACATTGGCTAAGGAAGTGTCTCTGCATGGAATACATTTCACGACGTCGACATCATAACTTGGGATATAGAGCCATGTGGATAGGAAACTCCAACAATATTCATCATAAATCAAGTTTTTTTTTAAAAAAAAAGGAATATTCCACCTTTATTAAGAATAACCCTTTCTCGCATACTAGAATCGATCTCAAGTACCAAAAAAACGAAAAAACCATAGGCGAGCCAGGATGGTAAAATAGAAGAAACAACACAACAATTGATGTCAGAACCCAAGCAAGATATTGACGATTGGCGCAACTCTCCTCCATAGCTCCCAAGGAGTCAAGACGTCATGGAGAACAGAGGGCCAGGATCGCGAATTGCCAGAGGAAAACGGGGTGCGCAGATAATGTGATTCCCAGCGAATGACTGGTTGGCAGGTTGAAAAGAACAAGAACCGACAAGTGCCTCCCAATACTCGAATTTGTCAAAAGTGCAAAGACACAGCATGGGGGAATAAGAGAAAATACAGCCTGCGCACGCGCAAAACCTTCCAAAGCCATCCGCTACCATGAACACAAAATCTGTCTTCATATCGGCCGTCTCCCTTTATGCTCCCTCCCCAGAACCTATCGATTCCCTCGCCCCAACCATTCCTGCCGTCGACATAGCAATGGAACCTGAGGGCCCGCGAATGACGTTGAGACGAATGGAAAAAGTCGTTGTTCCAGATGCCAAGGCGGTAAAGGGATAAAGTCGTGACTTGCGGAAAAGAAGGGCAATCCAAGTGGTCATGATCTGGTCTATGTGCAGAAATGGAGTGAGTGAAAGGAAAAAGCAAATATCGTGAGTGAACTCGTCCGATCGTGTCCCTGGCATGTTGTTCATTGTTCCGGCCGTACTCCATCATCCTGCTTCGCCAAGAGAAAGGAGAGCATTAACGCATTTAGCAGCAGCTGTTGTTGGAGGACGATCCAACGCCCTGGCCCTGGCCAACTTGCACGCTGGGCTTGGTGTTGTTGGCTGTTGTGGTGCCCATGCGCTCCTTGATCTGGCGGGCCATGGTCAAGAAAGCCTGCTCGACGTTGCTGGCGTTCTTGGCGGAAGTCTCAAGGAAAGGAATTCCCAGGCTGTCGGCGAATTCCTACAAGTTCATGTCAGCCATGGTGTTGCTGTGGGTAGTTGTCGCAGCCGAGGGTGAAATTTTGGTGACAGGGGCATTTGAGCGTTCAGGCGCTTAGATGCATGTGATGGGCGACCCGCTAGGCTGCGACATTCAGAGTACCAGAATAAAAAAAAACTTACCTTGGCTACGCTGTACTCAACGACCTTCTTGTCTGACATATCGCTCTTGTTGCCGACCAGCAGCTTGTTGACACCCTCAGTGGCATATCGGTCAATCTCCTGGAGCCATTGCTTGACGTTGTTGAATGAGTCCATGTCGGTAACATCGTAGACGACGCAGATGCCGTGGGCACCACGGTAGTATGAAGAGGTGATGGTGCGGAAACGCTCTTGACCAGCGGTATCCCACTTGAGGACAGGTTAGCATTTGGTTAGGTGGCCGGAGCCCGCGCGAAGGGTGCCACATACGATCTGAAGCTTGACGGTCTTGCCATCGAGCTCTATTGTTCGGATTTTCTGAGCGAGTGTTAGAAAATAAGCCAGGTAAGTGAAAGTGCTGGCGGGGGACAACGCACGAAATCGACACCGATGGTAGAGATGTAGGACTCGGTGTAGGTGTCATCAGCGAATCGCAGGAGAAGACAAGACTTTCCAACACCGGAGTCTCCGATGAGGAGGAGCTTGAAGAGATAGTCATATCTAGTTGGTGTCAGATCCAAAAAATTATCTCAAAGAGTCGCATCTCGACAGCGGTAGCAAAAGGAAATCGCATGAGGTTTAGTCGAGGATGGCAGGGTGTAACTCTGAAGCGATAGTCAGCATGGGGCATAGTTCCATCAGGAGGTTATCGCAAAGGAGGCGGAGAGTGGCGTACTACTCAGGGTTCATGTTGGCGGTGGTTCCTTGGTACGCAGTAAGACAAGAGTCCGATGCGAAATGTGAAGGGGTGAGGCTGGAAGGGCGGACTTGTCAAGGCGATGGAATGAGACTTGGAGATGAGTTGATGGGAGAGAAAGATTAAGTTGAGGATGGTTGCAGAGGCTCAAGAAAGGTACGTCAGGGAAGAAACGTAACGCCAGGCAACGCCAGCACCGCCTAGGAGAGGGAGGGAATGATGGGGCAGCTGACAGGCGTGGGTCACGTGATGCTGTCAAAGAGAACAAAGACCTGAGTTACAAAGACCTGAGTTACAAAGTCAGTCAACGTGATACTGAGTTAACGGGTAGAGGCAGGGAGAGCATGTGCAGCAAATAAGAAATGAATGAAACCAGAGGGTATGTCACAAACGAGGTTCATTCGCCGATTTAATTTTCTTTGCAAGGCTAATATGCTGGATATTGCTTGTTCTCATGCAATAGCAATATACTTGAAGATGCCGCAGGGCGGTTTACCGATATAACACTATCGCTTGTTGATGCAGACTTTCCCAAAACGGATCATTTTCCAATAGCAAAAGAAGAGCAAACATTGGAATGAGCAATGCATCATTACTTTGAGGGTCTGCCTGCTTTGCTCCGTCGTCGGGCATGCGCTGTAGGCATCCGTTCATTCTTTAGCATCTCATCATGAGGCTGCTGATGAGCCAAACGTGGAGCCTGTGCCGTCATTCACACGATTCAAGTGACTTGGCATGTCACAAGTTGATACATACTAGATCAACTTCACCGCCTTCTGCTTTAAGAGTAAGAAAGGCGACATCTATTCCCTATTGCAAGCAGATGATCTCTAAGAAATGTCAGATAACGCCTTATTAGTGGATCCTGCTTCACTCAAGCCTCAATTCTCCCATTTTCTCCAGATTCCCATCCTCCATGTTCTCTCCCACTCAAAAGATCCCATCGCAGTGGAAAAGACCCGCCCCGCCACATCCCGCTCCGCTGTCAATTTGTGGCTGTGGAGTCTCGATCATCAACCAATCAAGTCCAGCACTTCACAATCATGTCTCTTCCCTACCCTTTACTGCTGCTAGATACTTCCGAGTCTACCCATTAAGCCATCGCAGAAAAAGTCCAAAAGTGGACATACCTTGAGGTACCCTACCATCCAAGCTACTAGATATCGGCAACACCTCATTATTACCAACTCACCTTGATTCTGTAATATTCCAGGCCCTCTTTAACAAAGCCACACTTGGCTTCGTCTATCGAATTTCACTCTTGATCCATGAATCTCTCCATTCTGCTGCGGTGACCTCCCAATGGCCGCGCCCATCCGATCCAGTCTAAGCCGTTCCGGCCGGACCTCTGTTGCCTCTATTCGCAGTCTCTCCAATGCTCGCCCGGCAAAGGCACAGGTTCAACCCGCCACTGTTAGAGAACATAAACTCTCTCTTCCGCCTTCCGATGCCACTCTTCTCGAGGATTATCTAAGGCGAGACGCCTTGTCGAGGACGTATTTCGATGCGACAGGCGTGCGATGGGTCGGATCTGGCGATGACGGACCAAAGGACCCCAATAAGGCAAAGCTGGGGAAAAGTACGTCACTGAGGATATTCCGATGTTTGTATCACAATGCTAATTTGCTATAGCTCTGCGAGTTTTGCAAGAACGATTGCCAACGCTTTTACTACATCCTCTTCCTCACGACATTCTTGCGCCAAACATCGCCCTCCATCTTTTCCCTTCGACGCACCCTCACCTACCAACCGTCTCCGGCCGTGTCGCCTATAACGCAGCCCTCTGGACCTCCCCGATAGCATGGAACCGCGTCCCCATTCTCGGCAATGTCTGTATCGAGGTTCTCGCGGAGCGCATGACAACGGAGCCCCTCACATTCTTACCCCGCCGTGCTGGGGCAATACCCGAGCAGCTCGTGGTCCGCTGGTGCGAGAAGCGAAAGGGTTCAGATAGTTCTTCTGATAGAGGAGTCATCGCCCGGTCCCTGCCGTTCGGTCGGGGAGTCGACCCAGATAAGGCATTCACGGGACTGTTTGTCTTCGATTTCGATGCCGAGGGTCGGGTTCTAAGCCATACTATTGAGCAAGCACAAGCTGGTGGCGATTGGGAAGCTGGAGTTGGTGCAAAGGTTGTCGGTCTGACTGACTGGCTCCTCGGAGGTTGTAAGAACCCCGGCACTCCTATACCAATGTTTGAGCGAGTGCGAAGACGACGATCCATCTAAACACTCACTCTAGGGGTGACAGTGATGATATGACCCCAAGGGGCGTGTTCTCTTAGAAAACGAGAGAGGTTTACGGAAGGATAAGGCATTATGAGAGGCGTTTCTGGTTGCATCTTGATCATTGCCAGCGACTTCATGCTGGTTCGTGTCGCGGGAGTCTTTGTCTTTAAGACAGTGTACAACAACAATCAGCCATGAGACTCCACACACATTCAGACTTTGTATAGCTTTGTAAATTAGCAACTAAAGCTCAGTTTTAGACAATGCCTTGCCTTTAAACAATTCATGTCACTAATCGTGCGCAATGGAGCCTGTCCATGGTTAGTGCCTCAAATTCGAACAAAGGTTGAGTTGTGCCATTGATACATTTTGGTAAATTCCTTCTCCATTCATAACACATGTGACTATTACGAGTACAATAAAGAATGTAAAATACGATATCATGCGTTACGGAATTCTTAGGGAAACCCAGAAACACATTCATAAAGCTTCACGTGAGTTCATATCTTCACAAGTGTACACCCCTTAAGGGGCTACCTTAAGCTTGTCAATCGGAAACTAATAGCTTATAATAGTAGACCATCAATTGCCTCGTGGTGGTATGCATTGGATGTAGCGTCGTGAAGCTCATATATTCATACGCGCTATCCGCCTCTAACCTACTATGTCGAGGCCTTTTAATTGCTGAAGAGCCAGCCCATTCTCAGGCCAGCATCTCCTTGATGGTATATGGGCATTTCACAATATTCTGCCCAAAAGACCATCAGCCAGAGCACTTCGAAGCGTCTGGCAACCTAAGCCTACTTCCAGGCCTTGTAATTTGAGATAAACACCAATATACAAACGTACTCTAGAGCACGATCTCGCCAATGTTCTCTCCCTCAAAACCCTGCTTCGCAAGCTTCTTGACTCGCGCCTTCTCCCTTGCTTTGTCGGCGGCTTTCTTCTCCTCTGCGAGCTTCTTGACGACGTCTAGCTCACCGGGCTCAAAGCCAGGAGGCGGGTCGTCATCTCTGTCGAGGTCGATTTCACCGAGGAGGAGAACGTTTTCGCCTCGGACGAGGAATATGCCGTGATTTATGTCGGCGTACAGACCTGTTGGTCGATCGCTACCTGCTGACTCGGGGGAGGGCGCGAAGATACGTTCGACGGTAGATTGGAGAACGAGATTGGCTGATTGAGGTCAGAAAAGGGAATGTTCTCCCTGCGGTGATTCGTTTCCCTAAAACCCACCGAATTGATCCCAGCTTCTTAGCACGCCGATGAGTTTTCTCCCATCGCGCAAAGCGACCATGAGCTTCTCTGCAATTATACAGTCGTCAGCACACGATCCTTCCTTCTCCCTGCTTCTATCGAGTCCAACCCTTCTCATGAACCGGAAGCAGGAATGAACTGGTACCATGGCGGAGTCGTACTGTCTGTGAGATCCAGGAGCTGCGCTGCAGTCGTGAACATCTGCGGCGGCAACTGGGGAAGCGGTTGCGGCGCACCGCGGCCCAGTGGAGGGGCATCGGCGATAGATAGGTTCTCCATGATGTCGTGATGGATTGAGGTTGGTGGTATTTTGTGATGTCTTTTTGTGGTTGCGAAATTCTATTGATCCATGGAGGGTTCTTCTATGGGCTCATGACATGAACATTGCGAGGAGATCGGTTGCAGGGGTCGAATAAAGGGAAGTTGCTCTAGGTCGTTGATGCTTTGACGTTGATCTAAGGTGTTGCGGATCCTATTGCGGCAAAACAGCGCTATAACGATAAGGGCCACTTAGCTGCATATCGCTATAAAGCGCCGAATTCAACAAAACATGCCATCAAATTTCTGACTTCAATGCGGGGCATTTCAGAGAAGCAGATGGAGGGGCATCCTCATCTTGGCGGGGCAGAAAGTCAAAAGGTTCAGGGAACGGAACAAGCAAGAAATAAGCATCCATGACAAGGTCTTGGCCGCAGTCCCTTAGTGGTCGAGAGCTGCAGCAGTGACTTGCTTGTGCGTCATTATATGCCATTCGGCAAAGGGCTCTTCTTTTTTTTATGTCTCATTATTTTGGTGATCTTTTTCCTCACTCTCACTCTCACCCAGCTTCAACTTGTTTAGATGCGCTCAAGTGAGGGGAATCGCCAAGTCTATTCAACTCCACCATGACCAGGCGAGTTACTAAGATTTCGTCCCTCTCTAGCGGGTGGACTTATGCGCATATTTGCCTCCCCGTCCCGTCGGTCTTCGGGCTAGACCCCGATGAAAAAGCAAGAATCTGAGGGCAGCCAACCTTTTGTGATGCTTTTCCGGTCCTGTCCATGAATTGCAGTAAGATAACCCTCTGATCTCGATGCTCGCACCTTTATATGCCGCTCAAGTATCCCACCCCGTCCGAATTCTTAGATGTGTAAAAAAAAAAAAAACAAGCGATACTCTATCATGTTCCAGCCTAAACGCCTTGGGATGGATGCACATTGTAGTCTCTATATAGAGAACTGAAAAATAGGAGGTAAAAAAAGAGGCGCTTCGTAACTCAACCCAAATTGAGTTTCTGAGACGAGCACGTGTCATTCCTCTCATGACAAGGAAATGGAAGGAACTCTGTGGAAGTGACGGTGTATCACAATCCACTCAACAGCCAGGAGATGAACCCATGTCGTCGCGACTGAATGGAGGGCCGTTTCAAGGATAGTTATTGGTTACTTCCAAGGTCATGATTGCGCATGAGAGGACGCTGTGAGGCTATTGACGGTTTACAGTAGACCGTTGTAAAGCCTCCTGTAGCTCTGGTCTTGTTGATAACGCCTCCCACGCCTGGGCAAATGTAAACCACTGGCGTTCTCGCTTGTGGGATTCGGGCCAATCGTCGTACTCGCTGGTTACTGTGCCCTCAAAGAAGTGGTATCTTGACCGATCTTTTGACGATTTTGGCGCACGCTTCTCATCGATGTCACCAAGATCATAAGTGATCTGAACAGTGATGCCAGCTTCTTCCCAGGCCTCTCGCTCAGCGGCCTCCTGGCAAGTCTCGTCAGACTCCCAGCCGCCCTTGGGCAGCACCCAGCCTTTGCGCCGGGTGGACTGAATCAACAGGACAAAGTTTTGATCGGGAGTGAGAGGCACGATGCCAGCGACGAGACGTTCGCCCTTAGTGTTGTAACCTATATAAAAAGAAAAGTGTCAGTGGTGAGATCTTGAGATTATCGATTGAGAATGCGGACTGTCGGAAAGTTGTCCAATTGTGCCCAGGCGAGCGTAGGAAATTATGGTTGGATTCAAATCCATCACACCACAAAAATGGGCAACAAGGATGGTATAGAAGACACCAAGACATATGCTTTCATAAAAAGCCAAGGAGGTCAAATGTGCCGAGAAGGATACTTTCAAACTGAAAACATTGTATTGCTCATCAGGTAAAGACTCACGTTGCTTGCTTCTACCCACTCGTGACTCCATGGAACGGCCACCGCCCGAGTCTCCAGAGGCAGAACTCGACATCTTCTTAGTGGGAAGTCGGGGCGGAGAGTGACGGCGGGAATTGGGAGGAATGCCGGGGAGTTTGGTCGAGCGAGAACAAAAACAATGATGTTCGTGGATCTCGAAAAGCGATGATGCGGGCAAGATAGCTTCAAAGGTCCTCGGAGGTAGCGGAGGAGAACGGATGTTCACCCCTGGGTCGAGAAGGAGAGACAGACGGGAACCTGCGATGAGCGGGTGGGTGGCTTTCAAAGAGCCTTGAGAGACATCATTGTCGAACAGTGAATAGTTGGTAAAAGTCTTGTGATCAAGTGAGGTGAGGATGAAGAACAGAAGTGGCCGTGGCCTGCGCCAGAAGGTGCTGGTGCTTGGTTTTTGGTCGGGGAGAGCCCAGACGCTCCAAAGAGCTGGGCTGGCGATGTGATATAAACTGCGAGATGATGGAGGTGTGGGTGCGCACGCGCAAAACGTCCCAAGTTTAGCTCGAAGGGGCAGCGGGCGACTCGGCGGATCTCTCTCTCTGCCTGTCTGTCTGGCGGAACCCGCAGAGCAGTACGTACTGACTGTAGCACTGTACGTTAGTAGGTACCTTAGGTACCTAGCTTCAGAACAGAATAGACCCGACTGCAGCGAAGAGGGTTTGGTCTGGCTTAGGTTGGTTGGGGGGCGTGTAGGTACGGGGAGCACTGGGCGCTCGGCGGACAAGCCTTCTCCAAGTAGGCTAGTGACAGCAGACAGGGACTGGAAGCGGAGGGGAAAAGCTGGATCCTCGCCTGCCCAGGGATGGAGTATGCGTAGCGTGTCAGGTCAGAGGTACTGTACAGATCTGTGTGTGTATGTACAGTGCTGTGATGTAGTGCTTGCAGTGGGCTTTAGGCCTAGACTTGCCCGGCCAAACGGTACCTAGGTGAATGGATGGTGGGCGGTGGCACCCTGTAACAGTGAGTCGCTGAAGCGTGGAGTGTGGAACTGAGGGCTTTCGCTGGGTCAACCGATGCGAGGCAAACTTTGATTAGAAATGGGGATAATAATGGAAGTCGTGAACGTGAGAGGCTCCCCTGTTTGAGTTGCCGCGGCGTTTACCAAAGTGACTTTGTGTTGTGTTGTGTTGTGTTGTGTTGTGTTGTTTTGTGTTGGCTGACTGATACCGATGTGATAGTTGGCCATAACGTTGATGGTCAGAAGCGAAGAGGCTTGGTTTGAGTTGAGGAGTCCCACGCCAACGCCTTTTGTAAGAAAGGCTGAGAATCAAAAGCTTACGAGTCGGGGATATGAGATCGATCGGTGACAGAGACGTATTGTTAGTGTGTCGAACTGTCAAATTAATGGTAAGGAAGTGTTATTTCATGCGAGCATAGTACTCAGCCAGCCGCTCGAAATTATTAAGTACCTGGATAAGAATTGCTAGAGCTGTGCAGGGTAGGCGCTTTTCTGAAGGTTTGAGTATCAAGCAATATTCGAAAAGTGTCCGAGTGATCAAGAAGAGACCGTGTATTGGGTATATCCCTGAATTTAGAAGGCTCTTGGCTGAGAGCGACTCCTCAATTGCCAGGCCCAAGTAAGGAAGGCACAACTTGTCAACAGGCAATGCAATCAAGAAATAAAGGTGAGATGAGTCTCCGTGTAGGTAATCTTAAAACCACCTCATGTCTTGCGCCATCCAACTAACAAAGGAGACGAAACTGACAACGACAGGGTCTGTTGCCTTCATACTCGAGCCCATCTCGATAGGCTGAAGGTGCATGGATGCCCATATTGTACCAGCACGAGTCTAAAAAGCTTCTTCAGAGCTGAGAGCTCGGACTGTAATAACAATGCAGGGCTAACCGATGGCATATTTCTCAGAGACGTAATGGGCGTGGGAGGTTGCTGTGTATGCATGACTGAATGGGAAATACGTCGTGGGTGTTTGTCCTTTACTCCTACAATCCAATTATTGTCGTAATGCCACGCCCCCAATCTGCTTCTGTTGGAAAGTCTCGGGGCCCTTGAACCATGAGAGAACAGGAGAACCGAGATGCGGATTAATTGAATCTGGCAGTTACTTGGGAAGATCTCGACCCTCATACCGGTAAGAGATTACAAACCAGCAGCAGATACTTCTATATTAGATCCGAAGCCAAAAACACACACAGGATATTAACCAGCGCCCCATCTTGTCCCGCAAATATAAGTCCACGGCATGAGACGGGGAAGTATTATTATACAGTACAACAGCGATGGGCTTCTTATTAATCATGGCCATGACAAAACGTGTGCTTTGTGGTGCCACTAGTTTGTCAAAAAGTTCTTTACAGCATCCCTTTGTGGCATATGCAGCAGAAGTATCTGAGAAATCTTGGAAGTTAATTAATAAAAGTTCAAAAGCTTAGGCCGGTGAGATGCAGGGTGGTTTATTTAATGTGAAGGAAAACGAGGCCGATTAGTTTCAACGTCCAGTAGATCACAACCAATGGAGGATCATCACAACTCCTCCGATGTAACAATCTACATTTGTGGTACAAGAATGAGCCTCAGAAAGGAGACACTGCTTGACCACGCACCCCCCAGTTTCGTAGCTTCTAGGTTGGCATTGAAAGCGGTCTCGAGTCGGCATATCAGCACGCGGACGCAGGTCTACTTTCGCAGCGTAGGGTCATCCATGCCATTGGCAACGATGGAGGGACGGGGCTGCAGCTCCAGCATCGCGAAGACTTCAACTTGACCTCTTCTCAATTCACATGTTAACAATGATAGGTTCATCGTCGTCCACGGGTAGCTCCTACGCTGTACCACATTAACCCTGACGTACGATGCATGAAGAAGAAGCAGTGGCAGCAGTAGTAGCACGAGAGGGGATGTGAGGGGGAGGGGTAGAATGCGCTTGTACAAGGAGAGGAGCAAGCATTGGGTCCATCCCACGGATGGAGCACATAGTAGGTATCGTGAAAGCGAGGCGAGAGCCCTTGATCTTCACTGCTGGAGTCCTAACTTAGTGGCCGAAGTGCGCATAATAAGCACCCTTGACAATGACGATCATTGGAAGAGATAATCTGATATTCTTCAACACCAGTTCAATCACACAACTCAAGCTGCAGCTCAAGATATAAACAGACGTCATGTCGGTTAAGCCTCTGCCAACTTGAATGGTACAATGCATATCTAGCTCGTCTATTTTAACGCCGGACTCCGTTCCCTCTCAACAATACCTAACTACCTACCTACTCGACAAGCAAGCTTTTGCTTCTCGATGCCTGGTCTGGCAAAAAAGCTCGTAGCGTCTCTAGCTCGGCAAGCCTCCTTGGACATGGAGTCTTCCACAACCAGTTCCCGGAGACGAGACCGAGAAAAGGCCCGCAAGTCGGGTGATAAAAAACATTGGTTCCGTGATTGTCTCGAGGCGAGTCCAAAAACTGCCAAAAAAATCTGCAGAGCAATGGAGCAAATGCAGCAACAAGATGCAACACACTAATGCCGTATCGTTGCTCGATTCGCCTGGGACGGTCAGTTTGAGGCTAGTAGGCCTGTAGGTTTCTTTCTTTTCGTTTCACCTCATTCGTTGCACAGCGACTTTTCTCTCTCTTTGGCTGCAGCATGCAAGGAATAATAGGATGCAGTACCTGTAGAGAGGCTAGTCATCAACGTTGAGGGATTGGCCACCAAAAGCCAGGGCAATCGATTCCTCCAATCCTATCACGTTGTTTATGCTCTGAAGAGACAGGTACTTTTTTGTTTATTATTCAGGATGAGATGAGATGACAGACATGTGGGGGTGTTGGTGACACAGACTCAGCCTTGTATCGAATCTGGTCCCGTAGATGTTGAGAAAATGCTGGAGAGGTGGGAAGTCTTCCTCCTGGATACGAGATGGGCCTGGGATATCCTGTCTTGTAATCTGTGCACTTTCTGAGAGCAAACTTGAATATTTGCAGTCGGATTTAGCAATGAGATTGGCTTTAAGCATAGTGTACATACCTACATATCCTACAACAGAACACCGCAACCTTGGATCTCTGATTGCATACGACGACTGCATGTGAATTTCGATATTGCTAACAGCACTGCAGCTAATAAATGCTCCTTTCATGAATTATGAAAGGTATCAGCAGAGAGTCGGATGTCTAGATAACTATAGCCCTACGTGTCTAGGGTATTTTGGGTGGCCACCTGGAACAGCACCCCGCCATTGCAATTGAAGCTGCAGCTTCCAGTGGTTGTTGCCTTACTTTACCTTAGCGGAGCTGAGCAATGGTTGATCTCATTCATCATCCATCCCATCTTCAACCTTCAGCTATCTTTCCCATCTTAGCATAAAACCCAACATCTCCCACGTATTATCTTTCATTTTTCTCCCTTGACATTCTCTCGGTCAAACCTACATGGGGCACCACACCAACCCAGAGTATCCGTAGCTTCTATACGATATCGGAACTTTGCCGTGGAGTCTACATTCTACCGGCTGCCGCTTTCGAAACCGTTGAACAGCGACAGCCTACAGCACGGTCAGGTCTGGTCTACAGACAGGTGTTGCACACCCGTCAATTTCTGTGTTCTTGAACCCCTGTTCGACTATACATACTAGCTTGGTCGCCTAAAGTTAGATCGAAGCAGCTCGATTTTGGTCAACTCTGTTGCACATGCGCGCACACGATCACATCCCTCACTCTCAGCGCCAATCCCTGGATATCATCCGCAGCCAGCGTCTCGTCATCATCATTCGTGTGCACCCCAAATAACCAACTGGGTTAATCGACTATTCACCAACCGCAGACACAACATCCCACGCTCACGCATTGAGAGGGGGAATCAGCAGGCACGCGATCGCAGCTTTCGTCACTCGTTGAACCTCCCTCAACAAACTCACACGCCCCCTCCATTCTCCGTTCTCCATCTCCAAGGCTCGGGAGTCTGCCCCTCTCTCCGTCTTCCTCCCGCTCGAGGGACCTACGTACGTACGGTACCTACCTACGTGTGGTAATTTAGTACCTACCGTACCTCACGCAACGACTTGCCCGTCTCGGATAGCATTACTCGCGCCTCGTGGGTAATTTAAACTCCTCGCTGTGGCCTGTGAGAAAGGTTCGGCGCCCCTCATCCGCCGTACACCACCGTCATCCTTCCGTCTCCGGCAAGACATCATCAGAGCATCTCACCTATTACCAACAGCCCTTTGAGGAACACGACTCCAGTTGTGCAGTGCAGGTTCAAGGTTCACAATGGAACCCAGCGGCATGCACATCCCTGAAAATGCGTTGTTGCAGCACGAATATATGACCCCAATTGGTGAGTGCTTATTCCCACGTTCTTCTCCAACCGATCAGCCCCGTGGTCTAATGCCGGCCTGTCGTTGGTTGCCGGCGCCTGCGCTTAAGCTCCGTCGCGGCCGGTCCCCGTGGCGCCCCCGTTTTCCCCGTCCGGGACAAGTTCGTTCCATTATTCATATCCATTTCACTTGACCCTTCCTTCACAATTAGTTACATGGAGCCCGAGGGCATCCACATCCACGTCAATATCAATCCCAATTTAGCCTGCAGACGGCTTCCACTTTGGTCAATGACAGACAGTTGATCATAGTCTCATGTTCAACGGTTCCGCAATCTTGGTGGTCGTGCGTCAAGGATCAATGCCACTATCAATTCATTAGCACTCCTAGTTAGCTTACGTCTGCTCACAAGTGTGGGTGTGTATCTCGACTCGAACAAACCTAGGTCTGCCTCTTCAAGCATGCATATTTGGCTTGTTTCTTTACTGTATTCACCAAGTTGTGTCTCAGAACCATTCCCTTGAATTCAAGATTCCTGGTCTCAATGTTTCTTAGCTCAGTAGTGTCGTTGGTCTTTGTGTAAACCACCAATAAAGGCCCAAATCACAAACGTTGACATTTTACCATCATATGATGAGGCATGGCAAGGCAGCCTCAGGGTCAATGCATTATGCTATATCAGACGTCGAGTAACATTTGGTTATTTTCCACTTCGCTTTACATGACCTGGCTTTCTACTCCCCCACGCATAATCTCCATCCGTTGACATCTCAGAAGAAACCACCCCCACACAATTGCCGTTCGTGCCTTTCCCTTCACCGAATGCTGCTGACTGATGCCTAGGATACTTCAAATCATCAAAATGCGGTTACTGTGGGAAACGTGACAAGAGTCAGTCAAAACGTGAATTGAGCCCCTGCACCTCCAGTCCCTTTTGACCACCCCAAGACTCGCATACACTTACGTCACGAGACACCCGTGATTCCACGGCCGTGTCATCGATGGTTGTTCTGATGTTCAGATTGATCACTTCATATAAGCACTTGGGCCACACGGTCTCTTGAACGTAAGGCTAACTAGTACGTGGGGTTATAGGCTACGCTTACCACGCAGTGGCGACTTCTATGAGTCCTGCGTTCTACCAAACTCTCCTTGACAGATATTGGAGACGTTCAGGCACTCTCATGTACCGACCCGATCAACGTCGGTCATGTTGCCCACACTACACTATTCGTCTTGATTCCAGCCAGTTCAAGCCATCCAGAGATCAACGGCAGACCGTCAACCGTTTCAATAAGTATGTCATGGGAGAGGCTTACATGAAAGAAGCGGCTCGCCTGTATCCCAAGTCGCGTGATGAGGCCAAGAAACGGGATAACCAGTTTGATCTCGTCGAACGAATTCATGAGGCTGAAGAGGCTAACTTGAAGAACCCTCCTGAGGCTGCTCATAAACTCGTCGTGACTCTAGAGCATGACGATTGTACAGATGAGAAGTTTGCTGTTTACCAGAACTATCAGGCGGTAGTTCACAAGGAGTCTCCGGATGAAATTACCAAGAGCGGATTTCGACGCTTCCTTTGTGACTCACCATTGAGGAGAGAAACAATGGTGACATCCGATGGGCGTAAACGTCGCCTAGGCTCCTATCACCAATGCTATAGGCTAGATGGTAAGCTAGTTGCCATTGGAGTGCTTGATCTTTTACCCGAGTGTATAAGCTCAGTATACTTTCTTTATCATGAAAGTATTTACCAACATGCGCCAGGGAAGCTTGGTGCACTGTATGAGATTGCCTTGTCTATCGAGGAGGGCTATGGCTGGTGGTACCCAGGCTATTATATACACAGTTGCCCCAAGATGTGGTACAAGATTGATTACTCACCTCAGTATATTCTTGATCCTGTCTCATTGACTTGGGACCCACTGGATCGAACTGTGTTGGATCTCCTCGACAAGAAGCCGTACGTGAGCCTTTCACTTGAAAAGGAGCAGGCCTCTCGCGAGATCGAACAAAGTTCGGTGTCGCCTGCCAAGGATACAAGCGAGATTGACAAAGCGGAGGACAAAGGTTCCGACTCTGCAGCATCGGATGAAGATGACAACAACTGGTTGTTTTCCACTGGGATGCCAGGCATACCTCCGATATCCACGGTCGCCGACTGGGATATGGATCATATCGCTTTGAAGATCTCCCCGAGAACTCCATTATATGAGACCTGTAATCTCGTCAGCTGGGATGAACAGGGGGTCGAGGAATATCCAGGAATGAAAGCTGGTGTTGCTGAGCTCATCGCAGCAATTGGCCCTGACTTGATGGACCGGGTCTGCCTGGACTTTTCCCGGAGACGCTAGGCGATGATTTCACGACTGGGACGCCAATGGGAACTATAAGTGTCAAGAACCGATTTCCGTTCACATCTTTCTTGTAGGCTGAATCTTGAGGATCGGCTCAAAAACTCGACATATTTCACCGCTCAACGTAATTGCCACGTCTAATGAAAGAATGGTTCAATGAACAGATTATGCCAGTTAAAAAAGCTGAAGAATGAATAGATGTCTCGATGTTTTGATAAATAAGGTACTGAAGCTATACGATGTAGGTAAGCAGGTAGTTAGGTTGGCACAATGCACAATTGATTGGTGGTGGAGCTATGCTTCCCAAGCTTCCACCCCGCCATCTCTAACCTCACCCAGCCCACCACACTTTCTGCCTTGCCTTATCTTATCACTCACCTCGGTGAAAGACGAACCTTTTCTTTCAACACCAAAACCCAGCGTCATTGCTTTTTCGAATCGCATCTCCCTTTCAAGCGGCCAAGCGCGCTGAATTTGGTACTTATTTCAGCGATTCGTATACAGTCTGTCTACTGCGGATTTGCCTCTACCATCACAATCATCATGGCGTCCCAGGTAAATCTCTTCTCGCCAGCCGAACTTGCGTATCTTCACCAGTCGCTCTTGTTACATCCTCCAATCCGCCCCGATGGGCGCACGCCGGCACAATTTCGTCCCCTGACAGCAGAGACGGGCGTTCTACCCGGTACGAATGGTAGCGCGCGTGTACATTTCGCTGATGGCACGGAGGCCATTGTAGGAGTCAAGGCTGAGATTGAGAAGACTGGAGGAAGCGAAGAGCAGCAGCAGGACGAAGAAGACCGAACAAGGAGTGACTGGCTCGAATTGGCAGTTGAGATCCCAGGACAGAGAGATGATGAAGCCTCGACAATATTCCTGGCAGAAATGTTGAGAGAGGCGCTATTGGCAGATAATGAGTTTGCCAAGAAATTGAGAATCAACAGACGGTTTCACTGGCGACTATATCTCGACGTATGTGCTCATAATACAAAGAAGCAAACGCGATGCTAAAATGGTACAGGTTCTCCTAATATCTCCTCCGCTATCATACCCTCTCCCACTACTCTCACTTACAACACATCTTGCTCTTCTGGCCACCCGTTTGCCCCGTCTCAAGTCCGAAGGCGACGAGGATCCTATGTTTGACGACGATTGGGAGTCGTCGACATTCCTGTACCCTCGCGATGGTGCTCATGCGGCAGGTTCACGACCATCTATCACTCTTCTCGTGGTTGCGATTGGCGACAACATCATCTTTGACCCTGCAAAGGAGGAATTGGCTGTCGCGGAGACAGCGCTGGCTGTATCTGTGGCCGAGGTCCGTCAAGTCGCAGCTGAGGGTGGCATGGAGGTTGACAAAAAGAGCCGCGAGCTCAAGTTGTTGTCTATCCGAACCATTGACCCGCCATCAAGGCTCACACCGCCCGGAGTGCCACATACGACGAATGGAACTGCACAAAAGGGAGAGGCCCAGACAGCCGAGGGAGTGTGGAAGGCACCTTTGGGTGGAACCAAGTTTGGAGTAATGGACAGCATAATACAAGCTGTACTGGAGAAGGGCGGAGTTGCGGATGAGGTTTTGGAGGGCCTGGAGGGTGTCGAGCTCACATGAGACTACGTGTGAGTTGAATATGGGTGTGATAGAAAAGTACAAAGCCTCATGAGACTGGATTTCATGTAATCGTACAACGTATGATCCCTGGGCATGGAGATCGTTATGCTACAGCTATATCATACATGCAGATTCTTGCATCTTTGTTTTTTACATAGGCATCTTAGAAGACACCGAACCACTTCTTCTTGGGCTCTTCAACCTTCTCTTGCACCTCGGTCTTTTGCACTGGCTCGTCTTCCACAGCAGTTTGCTCGGGCTTGGGATCCTCCTCACCCTTGCCAAATACAACAGTTACAGGGTCCTTGGTCTCGATTCCGTGCATCTTCATGAAAAGTCGGCGCTTGGCTACATCGTCGAGATGGTTGGTTCGGTGGTCCCTGGCTTTCTCGGCCTTGTCCTTCTCGTGCAAGACGATAACGTTCTTCCAGGCGACGAAGAAGTGGAGAGGGTGCGTCCAGAGGTCTGAGATTGGAGGAACAAGTTCCTTGTATGGAGAGTTGTAGGCGTAGTTCATGAAGAAGGTGAAAACACCAAGGGCGAAAAGAGTTCCCTAGTGGGGATCAGTATACTGCAAGCAATTGGACAGCTGAAGCTGCATAGTAGGCATACCATGGTGATAAAAGTATGCAAAAGCCTACTGTGCCAGAAAAAGTGCTCCCATGTCCCCTCGGGAGCCATCATACCGGGATAGTGCTTCTTATTCTGAGCAGCGACCTCGGAAGCGGTGAGCTCAGGGCCATAATGCTTAGGCACATGGTTCTTCTTGAGGCGTGAACCATGAGAAGGAGGATTGAAGCGAGCGGGCTTCTCGAGAACAATGGGCTTTCCCTTTGAGGTCGAGGAGGCGAAGCGAATTCGGATGCTGTTCTGTGAGAGTGGGATGCTGATACCACGCCACAGAGGACCCTGAAGAGGGAGAAGAAAGCGCGGGATGATGGCGCGAGATGCCATTGTTGGCATGTGAAACAGGTTATAGCGATATGTGCCTTTGTTGTTCCACCTCTTAGCCCTGGAGCTTTGTTTGTTGTGGTGGTTTCGTGATGCCCTCACGTCTGCCCAAACAAGAAGAATCTTTTTTCCGGAGCCGTTGAGAAACAAACGAGGTCCCGGGACGGAGGTCCCACTCCGTTTCTTTGAGCCGGGTGACCCTAGGCTGTTTGGGGGTTAGTCCTGTAATGGCCTCAGGTCTTGACAAGGTCACAAGACTCCAGCGGCTGAGGAATTTAATTTTTTTCTTTCATGATGAAAGAGCCTGAGGATGACATGACTAGCCCGACCCCGGAAAAAAAGCCATCGCCGATGGAAGACCCGCTTTTTGGTGTTATGTCCCGACTTTACCCGGAGCCACATTCACAGTCGACAGGGGGGAGAATGTCGGCTTACTTACTCTTGCGCTGTGATTGGTTGAAAATGCATCAGCCACCTGTGGCGCTCTAAGAGATTGAGCGATCCGGCGTGGTCCTAAGCCAGTCGTGTCATGCTGTCATAAAGTTTTATTTTCTTGCTTCGGATCTTTTTCTTCCTCTCTCTCCCTCTCTTCTTTTTTCCCACATCCACACTCTCAACCCTCAATCGACTTGTTGCTCTCGTCCTTGGCTAACGCCTATCATTGAATTCACTACCACCTTTTAACTCCTTAATCACAAACCACATTCGCAATGGCTGGCGGTAAGTCCATTCTCATAGCTTGCTTTGGTTTGCGCCGGTTGTAGCGCAAGATTTCGAGAGATGCAATTGAGGAAAACGGAAGAGGAGACGCTTCTCGCAGAGGATATTACAACTTTCAATTCGAGTCTCGAGGGAATTCGGGTCTTGCACAATGGCAGAGAGTCATGCTTTGGTCACCAGCTGAGGCTGGCCCGCTGACCTTGTTGCCTGCGTCATTTACCCAGAACCGGTTTTCCCATGGCCACGAAGTGTTCAACCAAGACTCACCAACAACTCGTGCCACGCCTCTAAGACACCAAAGCGACTCTTCTTTCGTCCTCTCATCAGACTCACGAACCTTGTCTGCGCAGCCTCACCAGAGCCAAAAAACAAAACTCACTCGAACTCATTCACTAACTCACAATGTGCAGGCGATATCAAGAAGGGTGCCAACCTCTTCAAGACCCGATGTGCTCAGTGCCACACCGTTGAGAAGGACGGCGGCAACAAGATCGGCCCTGCCCTGCACGGCCTCTGGGGCCGCAAGACTGGTTCCGTCGAGGGCTACGCCTACACCGATGCCAACAAGCAGAAGGGCATTGAGTGGAACGACGACACTCTCTTCGAGTACCTCGAGAACCCCAAGAAGTACATCCCCGGTACCAAGATGGCCTTCGGTGGCTTGAAGAAGGCCAAGGACCGCAACGACCTCATTGCGTAAGTTTTTTTACTCCGTTGCGTCGCAGTCAGCTCTGGACATTCGCTTGCATGTAGTCATCGACAACTACATTGCTGCAGTAATTCCAAACTGCCACGCACTCATTCCCCCACTGTATCACAACAGTCACTAACATGTCTTCACAGCTACCTCAAGGACTCTACCAAATAAGCGACTATAGATCGCGTGTAATGTTACGACTTTCGATAGATGGGGACCGCCAGGGGGCGTTTGTACTATAGACTCTACACAGCACTTGTTAAGACATGCCACGTGCTTCGTATCCTATTCCCATCTCTCCTCTTTATGCGACTTCCGTCCGATACAACACAACCGTCTTTTTCAACCAAGAAGAAAACCCGGCGTTGGTTTGAGGCGGAAAACAGGAATGGCATGAGACCAAAATTAAACGTGTCCGCATCATAGCCCGATTTTGTTACGATAGAGATATTAAACGATTTGTTCTACTCTCAGATCTGTTTACTTCATTCATGCCTCATAGTTATGCATTTGGAATCAATTGTGAACGTCATTTTTACCATGATACGATGCGACAAACCAATCTCAATGCCGTCGATTTCGATTACATGTCCAGTCCCCCGATACCCGAGCGCCCCGTAAAGAGGGTCATCAGCGCAAACCGGTTCTTTTTCATGAGCATGTTTATATCATTTTTCGATCCCACTTCAGGTTTTTTTTCATCATGACTTTGTGATTGCCGAGCTATTTCCGTGCGCCTCCGTTGCTCCGGCGGCGTATGCGGGACCTGCGGCGATCGGCGGGCGGTGTGCTTGTCTCTGATTTTTTGGAGATTTTGCTTTTTTTACCCCTGACATGAAAATGAGGTTTCATTGACAGCTGTTGGAGAAATTCTGAGCCACCGTGGCTGGCATCGGTTGGGGTTCGGTGTGACGTGATCAGACATTGAGGTGAGAGAAAACATCACGATTGCAACGAGTTTCTTCAATCTGGCTTTAGACCTCTTTAGGCTATATTTATAAGTTTAGGGACAACGCAAGTCATATCTTAGATGATGTTTGATGATATTGTCTAAAGTAAGGAAAATACTCTAGTGTCGTCATAAAAAATATCTAACATTTCCCTAACTTTACCTCGAGTTTTCGGTAAGTCTCAGGATTCTGCACACTTCTATAGGTGGTAGAAAGGGCATGCTCCCAATCCACCCCATCGATCTCAGCTTCTGGTTTGGCCCCCTGCAGGCATCGTCGAAGGGCACTTTCGGCAGCCTTCACATGGAGCCCGCCTAGATCAGCACCGCTAAAGTCAGTGCAACGGTTGTCTCGAGCAACAGGCTCGAGGCGATCAAATTCCTCAGCTGTTGCGTCGGGGTGATTTGTGCGATAGATGGCTCGCAAGATATCGACCCTTTCGTCAGGGGTAGGTAGGTCGATGAAGAGGCGCACATTGAGACGACCAGGTCGAAGCATAGCCGGGTCGATCATATCTGGTCTATTGGTTGTGCCGATAACATAGACACCTGTGCGATCTTGAACACCATCGAGCTCGGTGAGAAGAGCATTGACAACGCGAGTTCCTGCCTCCGTGGAAGCGTTGTCACGCTTCGGAACAAGAGAATCCATTTCATCGAACATGAGGATACATGGAGTTGATGAGCGTGCCCGGTTGAACAGCTCTCGCACTGCGCGCTCTGATTCACCGACATACTTATTGAGAAGTTCCGGCCCGTTGATAAGGATGAAGCTTGCCTGTGCTTCGTTGGCGACAGCTTGGGCGACGAGGGTTTTACCACAACCGGGAGGTCCCCAAAGAAGGCAGCCAGCTGGACGAGCAAGACCAGCACGCCGGTAGAGCTCGGGGTCTTTGATTGGTCCGATGATTGACATATTGAGCTGGTCGCGGGCAGCCTGGAGAGCACCGACCTGCTCCCAGGAGACGTTGGGGATGACAGTGAAGCCGTCTTTTCGTAGGGAGGGAGTGAAACTTTTGATGGCATTTTTGAAATCTTCTTGGGTCAGGGGTGTATTTTGAGGCTCAGGAAAGAGAGTAGGAAGTTGTTCGTCCGCAAGTTCCATCAGATCGGGCAAGTCAGATGACAATGGAGATGGATATTCAAGGTGCCTGTTGTATTGGGCAGCGTCCAAAAGGCGTTCAGATGCTATTTGCTGTGCGAGTGTCGTGACGTTAATAATGTCAGCGCCAACGAAACCATGTGTAATCTTGGCCAGCTCCGCGAAGTCGACACTCTCTGACAGGTCCTTGTCCCTGGTAACGAGCTTGAGGATATCCTGACGGGCCCCAAGATCTGGGATCCGCATCTGGAGCGTACGTTCGAAAAGGCCAGTTTTGAGGACTGTTGGGTCGACATCTGTGATTCGCGATGTTGTCGCCATAGCTAAAATGTGTCTATCCTTGTCTTGCTCAGTTGCTATGCGCTGCATCTGTCGCATGAACTGTATAACATTGCGGCGATGGCCTTCGCTATGGCTGCTACCTTCAGGTTTGGGCATGTACCAGTCGAGCTGCTCGATGAGGATGATGCATGGGGCTATTTTCATGGCTTCTTCAACTGCATCGTTCAGGCTTCTTTCCAGGCGCTCTGGTTCTTCGAAACAGCCTGTCAGAGACACAATCGGGACGTCGATTTTCGAAGCAAGGAATCTAATGAGCGTCTTTTTGCCAATTCCAGGCGGACCTGAGAGCAGAATTCCTGGGACCTTTCGCCAGCGGCTGAGAGCAAACTGTTCTGGCCATTTCAAAACGTGATGTGTTTGTTTGCAGAGCTCTGTGTAGATTTCGGTCACGCCTCCGATGTGTATCGAGCTACAAGGATGTTCGACCTTGTGGCGGCTCGTCTTTTGCGTTTTCTTCAGAGGTGCTTTGTCTTGCTTTTCCGTAGGCGCAGCATCTGTATCCGTCATGGCACCCTTAGGCGTTATTGCTCCATCCTTCGCCCGCTCTTCGCCATCTTCCTGCACTCGTCGCTTCTTGATCGCGCGAGGTGCTTCGCCGGTAGGTGGAGTCGCCGTTTCTGCAGCCGCAGTAGTTGGCGTGTTCTGATGCCAGTGCTTCGTCATTTGTCTGTTGAGAAGGAAACGCTCGTCGTCGGGCTTGGGTGCTTCTTCGAGTTCAGCTTCAGAGTCGCTTGAGTCGCCTAGCTCTTCTTTGCGGAATTGAAGTACACGATCGATTGAATCTTCCAAGGGGCGCTTCTTTTGTCGGCTGAGGCTGGAATTTGACCTCTTGATAGCGTCATAGACGGCTGTTGTGGTCTTGAAGGGCTTGCCGTCGTTCGCATCTTCGAGCTTCTTCATAACCATGTATACATCGCGATCAAGGCCTTGCCTCAGGTTGAGGCGAGGCCTTTTGGCTCCTAGCGTCATTATCACTAAAGACTATGTCGCGTCACCGACGATCGGGCTTTGATGTTGATGGGAGGTTCAAGATTTCCGAAGACTGAACGGGGAAAAAAAGTTAAGTGCTGGGATGGTGACAAAATAAAAAGAACAGTCAGTACTTCAGAGACAAATATAGTTACTTGAGATTGAGATTGAGATTGACTTACCCACCACTTACGGGAGAAATACAATTTAATGCTAATATATCAATTCGACTCGTTTAGTCGTATCATGACTCTCGGCGTTCTTCCTCGGTGTTGTGCTATACCTTACATGGAGTTTATATCTTAGTTAGGTACTGGCCTTACAATGTTTGTGACCAGATACCTATTGTACAATTAAGGTGGTCCCACTATTTGATTTACAGATAAGGTATATCATTCAGATCAAAACTCAGGAAACTTGCTTTAAATCTCTTATGCTTTACTTCAAGGTTCACCGAAGTTTTATAACCTTTACTATATGGAAACGTCAGGTCAATCAATAATTACTATTCAGAATCTGCTCAAGGTATTATGTCAACTTAGAGGGGTCTGGCTTATCGATAAGACCCTGGACCCCAGTATCGGCGCCGATGACGATGGTCTCCCTCGTGACAATCGCTCGCTATCATTGAAGCGAAATCAGAAACCTCAAACTCCCTGCCTCGACTTGAACAGCCACACAGCTTCTCCTGATAATCTCTCGATAAGCTCATACGCCACCAAAACCATCCTCACGATTCTCATCATGGGCGGAAACGCAAGTAAAGTCACAGCCCAGGACAAGTCCGTCCCTCCCACCCCCCGCGATTGCGCTCGTGACCGCCTTCAATACTAATAATCTTCAGGGCCATCCTGGACATGAAGAACCAGCGCGATAGACTTCACCAATACCAACGGCGCATAACAGTCCTCACGGATAAAGAGACCGATATCGCAAAGCAGATGCTGGCCAAGGGCGACAAGAAGCGCGCTCTGCTAGCCCTACGGCGCAAGAAGTATCAAGAGTCGCTACTAGCCAAGACAGATGCGCAATTAGCTCAGCTGGAGAAATTGACGAACGATGTCGAGTTTGCGCTTATACAGAAGGATGTGGTGTTTGGGTTGCAGCAGGGTACAAAAGTTCTGAAGGAGATTCATGCTGAGATGGGTGGTATTGAGAATGTGGAGAAGTTAATGGGCGAGACGGCCGAGGCTATTGCGTATCAACAAGTAAGTTACTATAATACTGTTGTTTCACAGGTCGAAATATACTTACATGCTTCTAGGAAGTCAGCGATATGCTTGGAGGTCGTATCTCGAACCAGGACGAGCAAGAGGTGGAAGACGAACTGGAAGCCCTCGAAGCCGAACTTACAGGACCAGCCAAGTTACCCTCCGTCCCCGTGGCGAATCTACCAGAAGTACAGAAGAATCAAGAAGTTGAGGCACAAGCCGAGAGAGCGAAGCAACCAGCCATGCTGGCAGCATAGACGAGGAGCAAGCGAGACATTTTGGGTTCAAGCCATTTTGGACAGAGCATTTTACATTCGAGACGTTCTACTATACTTAGACTTGGGTGTACACAGCGGGCAACACGAGGCGTTGAGGCATTTCTGCATTTGAATCATGAAATATAGTATCTTGGACTTCTATCTGCTATGCGTACTTGTTGATGAGTTTCCTCATGATGGACATGGCGCCTCCTCGGTAGCCACCGCCGAACATGGCATAGTGGTTGAGGTGATGGTATCTGAGACGATGTTAGTGTCGTGGAGTTTGAGGGAAGGGGTGCTCTTACAGTTCGTACAGCTTCACTCTGTCGGGCCACTCGGCCACTGGCTCTGCCTTGGGCACCAGTTCATGGTACTCTTTCCAGAAGTGATTGGTGAAGCCTCCAAACATGTTCATGATACCGAGCTCAAACTCAGAGTGGCCATATACAGCTGAGGGATCGTAGACAACTTCTTCGCATCCGCCTTGGCCTGCGATTTGCCCTTTGGAATGGTTTCCGCTCCATAAATCACCATGGATAACGACAGGTTTGATGTTCTTTACAACATCATCCCCAATGAGCCGTGGAACTACCTTGCTAGCAACTGTCTCAACAACTTCTTCGAGTTCTGGATCAGCACCATTGTTGCGAACTGCCTGACGCGCGATGTGTCTCAGACGGTTATTAGCGTAAAAGTCGGCCCACGACTCTCGCCATGAGTTATCTTGCTCTGTAGCACCGCAGCATGTAGGTACTGGGAATCCAAACATGGGTTTGTCGTAGCCTTCCGGGATGGGAGCTGGTGTTGTGTGTAGCTGCGCAACCTTTGAAGCTAGAGTCTTGCCTGAACCACCAGGTGCTGATGACCCCAGATCGAGAAAGTCAGTAGAGAGGAAGTATTGACCTGGGCGGCCTGTGAGGGCTCCGTGGGCATGAGATCTTGGACAGAAGTTGGGAACTGAGTCTGCTATGGCGTTAAGGGAGGCATGTTCACCTGAGGTCTGTTAGATCATGATATCAGACAGTTGTGTAGGAAACTTATACTGACCCCTAAACATGACCTCAGCTTCCTTCCCTGCCCCAGTCTTTACAAAGTAATTCAGAGGCTTCCCGTCCTTCTCAGACGTTATCTTGAACGTCGAAGCAAAGCCCGATCCACCATGAGAGTTGATAGCCGAGTTGGCGGGGTCCAGCCCCAGTGCCTCAACAATGGCGGGGTCGACTTTCGTATGTGGCATAATATCCAGAGGTTTCGGGGGTATACAAGCTTGGCAATATTTAGGTACGCGAGTTGTTTGCGGTGTTTTGCAAACTCAACTTGGCTGGTATGAAGATGGGAAGATTGAGTGGGATGATGGGGTGACGTCAAAGCTTTGGTGTTAGTAATGCGAAAACATGCACGGAAGCTTAGAGCGTTGCAACGTAGTGACTTATCCTGCTTATTTTTCTGGAATTATTTAGATATAGAGGGATAGATATGATGTTATCATTTCATCATAACAAGATGTGACCGTAGACGTTGTTTAGTGAGTATCCAAGCCGTGTGTCTCTGTAACTAGACTGTTCGCTTCACCAGGGCGCCTTCAAGACCACGGCCAGGCCAAGTTCGTTATCAGAGCAAGCAAAGGACCATCTTGATCTCGTGAGTGCAGCACTCAATCAAATAGCATCGCTCTCGTAGGCCACTGCTGTTAGAAGCCCAATCGGAGGTCCATGTCCACATCTCCAAGGCCGGAGCTTTTTGACCCGGAGTGGGTGGGGCCAGTCGGGAGCTAACTGTAATTCACGGCGCCGGTCTTTTGCATGCCGGGCCGTCCTCCGGATAGTCTTCCAGAGAAGAAGCCGTCCCTCTTACTGTAAGGAACTATGTTCAAACATGCGTGGGCCAGGGTAGAAGTGCGAAACGAGTTTCTTCGGCATAGTCAGCAGATGAGTGAATACATTAGGTGACAGTGACACTTTACATAGATAACCAAAAAGCTGCCCCCGATGAACCCATAAACAGTAATTTAAGCAGTGAGGTAACCAAGTCAGAGATGATCCCATGTCTCATGTTGAGCCAAAAATGTGCTAGGCTTACCATGTCACGAGTGAATGGGCGAGAATCTCGAATACTACATAGTATGACATTTGCAGCCCAATTCCATGCTTTTCTTTTGTGGGTGCCGGAAGACCCTAGATCTGAAGAGTACCTGCAGGATCTTCCAGATCACTCTACTCTTGGCCAATATCTTGAATGACAAGGCAGTTGCTGTGCGGCTCCTGGTCAAACAGATCCTAGCTGTTTCTACTCAAATCATACGGTCGCTTCCATGAAGAGAACAGGGGATGATCGGGTCCGACCATGATGATACTTTCACATTACGATGATACAATAATGAAAGGACATCTTCTGTACTCTATTCAGTAGTATCGGGCAGGTACCTCATCTAACATAATAATGCGTAAACTCCGCCTCGGAGCCGATCCGAATCAGCACTCCACCCATCGGATGAGCCCACATCGGCCCCGTCAAATCCAAGCCCAATCAAATTCCCGTCATGTTTCTGATGTGACAATGACATGCCTTGTTGTTTCCGAGCAAACGCCAATCGCAAGTAATGGTATAGATCAAGAACTCCATAAGATAAAACTCGCTATTCGTTCCGATAGTAATTCGTCAGACCGGGGGGGTGTTCGGTCTTATTGTTTGGTGGGGGTCTCAATGTATGAGGATGCAGCGTAGGTTGTACCGCTGCTGAGTGATGCATTGTCTGAGTCGACGGTTGATGATGGTGATGATGGGGAGGACATGGAGAATGATGCTGAGTTGTTGGAGTGTGAACCGCCATTGAAGCAGGTTGTGCATGGGCATAGAGGGTTGTTGGTCATTGGTGGAGGAGGTGCACAGTGACGAGCAAACCAACTCTTGACTGAAGAAGGCATCTTGAGTATGAGTGAGGTTGATGTAGTTGTTATCGTTGAAGTAGTGTCGAGTAAGGTAGTAAGATAGATGTAAGACTCGTTGGACTGAAGGATATCTCAAGTGTAACGTGAAGTCAGTTGTGTGTAAGTCGCTTGCTAAGATCAAAGAAGACAAGAATAAACTACAGTTCCACGAAAGAATGAAGAGGATGTCTTGGGTATTTATGTTTCTTCACTTCTATAGCATGTGGGACCAACAAACCAACCCGAGCTTCTCCTTTGCAAAGTATTCTTTCTCATCCATCAAAAATATCGAAGCCATCCAAGCCCGAGACTAGACCAAGGCCATCCCTGACCCATGCACGGCAACAAAATGGGGCAGCCTCCTCTTCTCAGCCGGATACCGAGAGACGTCCGGGAAAAGAGTGGGTTCGCAAATCTACATATCAAATCGCGATGCCTTCACTTTTTACCACGTTTTCTTAGACGTTTTATATCTCCTCCTGCGAATCTCTCTCTTGACCGAATATCCCCAGAGCCAAGACCCTTTCTTACATGGGATGGATTATGGCGCGGTTTTTTGTTTCCCCTCACGAGGAATATATCTCCATTTCCCCGCGTTTTCCCCCCAATCGTCGGCCTGGGGAATGGGGGACACGTGCTAGACGGGGGATAAGCGCGGCAACTGGTTAAAGTTGTGGCCTTATTTCGACGTGCAGTTGCATTGGGTTTAACGGCTTGTGAAGTTTGGGTGTTGCGTGTTGAGGAGGAAATGGTTTGGAGGCGCTGGCACGTGAGGTTGACGGATGATTGAGTGAGCTCACTGCGAGACAGGACTGCAAAGGTATAGCATAGAGGTAATTGGCTGTAGAGTTTATATTACTGTTTGTAACAACTACTATGGTCTAATGGTAATAGGTATGTTGTTGTCACAAGCTGATAGATACTAAACCGACCTATAACCAGTAACGGTTGACTTAGACGCCTTTAACCTCACTTAGAAAACAACTCCAAGTAAGCACAATTAACCCTTCCCGAATCTTCCCCTTCTCCAAATCACCCTATATTCCATCATAGCTCACCATCAGCCTCATCTCTATAATCCCCAACATCACGAGACTCACCATCATCTACAGATTCCATCTCAGATTCTCTTCCCGCGTCGGTCTTGGGTCGGCATTCGCAAATCCTACCTTATACCTCACCTCGCCTTCATAAAACTTGCTTGTATGCGGCTCTTCCGCAGTGGATCTGGAAATGAAACCGACGCAATTCCCGCCTCGAACCTCCAACGGAACGAGAACCCATTGGTTAGAAGCTGTTGCCCCTTTGCGGCTCGATCCGATGTCTTATCTACGTCAGGAGATTTTCATCATTGAGACGTGGGTCTTTGGCAAGGGGAATAACCGAGGATAAGCTGAGAAAATCTTTCATTTCGTGAGTCATGAATATCTGTGTTCAAGGGGGGTTATCATACACATATGATGTGATAAATGCTGTGGAGATGAGAGGTGAGAAAAGAGAAAAGCCATGATATGGACAAGGAGTCGTGGAAAGTTGAGGCTGACTTTAGGTTGTGATGGTGTGCGGCGAGACGAGAGATCGCCAAGCCTTGCCCATGATGGTTGGTCTTCAACTACACCTTGATGGTCTGAACTAGAGCTTATTCCCGAATGATTTCTTCTTCCTTCTTGTTTCTTTCACTTGAGCGGGCCCTCTCAATACTCGACATACTATCTATCATCTAAATTTAATCCATTAATAATACATTTTGTCAACAAGCTGAAATCATCCCATTATGAGCTAAGAATGCGGCTCTGAGACGATGCATGAAATTGGATGGACCCTTACATCCGAGAGGCTTATTAGCCGAGTCTGGACCGAAACATCGAATCGTCTTCTTATACATAATTAGTCTAACAGCCCATCTGTGACTTGTTCCGTTCACTCAATGGACAGACTTGACTTTGTTGAGAATGACTCTTCCGAACCCTCAGCTATTCTCACCACTCAAGAACCCGTCACAATACCATGTAGACTCCAACCAAGCCAAAGTTGGCTGCGTGGAACAATCATCTTCTATCATGCCTGGGGTCGAAGGGAAAGCAATTATGAGTCTTGAGAGTCTCAGTGTCTACGCATCTCACGAGATATGACGACTCGTTACCCTTAATCTCACACGCCAAGCCAAATCACGAATTACAGCATTAGGAACACAACAGCTGCAGGGCGTGGATACGCGAAAAATCATCTTGTTGGAGACCATATCGCCCGTCCATCCTTTGAATCATCCGTCCTTCTATCGAACCAATCGGACACATTCGAGAGCATCGAAACCATGTGTCTTTACGAGCAGCGAGCTCCAAAGACCGACCGATGCATGCTAAATTAAAAAAACAGGAATATCCACCCATGTCTCCCACTCTTTGTCATGAGTGTTTGTTTCATCTACTCTCGGTTTTGGTTGGAACCGCAGCCTCCTGGCGCTCAAGTCTCACATCTTGTTATTATATCATATCCTTCACCACTGCTCGTCTAACAGCATTTTCAAGTGGAGCTGTTTAGATACCGAGGGTGAACTCGACACCGACATCGATGTCACGGGCTATTCGAGTGTTAGCAATCAGAACAGGCACTATAGGGGTCAAGGCAGCTTACCCATCTTGACGACCTTGGACAGCTGGACAGCCTTCTCGGCGGCGGTTTGTAGGTCATCGATGGAGAAGATCTTAAGACCGGAGTCGTTGATGAGCTGGTGAGCCTGCTCAACGTTGGTGCCCTGGAGACGAGCAATGATGGGGATTCGGAGGTTCATGCTCTCAACGGTCTTGATGAGACCAGTGGCGATAGCATCACATCGGACGATACCACCGAAAATGTTGACAAAGATGGCGGTGACCTTAGCATCGCTGGTGATGAGCTCGAAAGCCTCTCGGATAGCAGCGGGAGTGGCACCACCACCAACGTCGAGGAAGTTAGCGGGCTGACCTCCGTTCAGCTTGATGATATCCATGGTGGCCATGGCAAGACCGGCACCGTTGACAAGGCAGCCGATATCACCGTCAAGCTTGATGAAGTTGAGGTTGGACTCAGCAGCGCGGACCTCATCGGGGTCCTCCTGTGTGGTGTCGCGCCACTCAAAGACGTCCTTCTGTCGGAACTCGGCGTTGTCGTCGAAACCGAACTTGGCGTCCATGCAGAGAACCTTGTGGTCGGAGGTCTCAGAGAGGGGGTTGATCTCAATCTGGGTAGAGTCCTTCTCGGTGAAGATCTTGTAGAGCTTCTGGATGGTGTCCTTGGCCTCCTCGATGCACTGCTCGCTGAAGCCAAGCTTAGTGGCAATATCGCGGGCAACCTCGTCGGTGACACCAACGTTGATGTCGATGTAGTTGGTGTTGATGGCATCGGGGGTCTCCTTGGCAACGGTCTCAATGTCCATACCACCCTGGGAAGAGGAGACAATGACGGGGCACTGGTTCTGACGGTCCATGAGGATGGCGAGGTAGAACTCACGGCGAGCAAACTTGCGCTCGCAAATGTAGACAGCGTTGCAGAGACGGCCGCCAGCGCCCGTCTGCTTGGTGATGAGGTTGTGGCCGATCATCTGCTCGGCGAACATCTCGGCCTCGTGGGGAGAGTAGATGACACGGACACCGCCCTTCAGGCCGTTGTCGAAGGTACCCTTTCCTCGGCCACCGGCAAGGACCTGGGCCTTGATAACCATATCATCGTTGCCAATCTTCTCAGCGATCTCCTTGGCCTCCTTGGCGGACTTTGCGACGGAGCCCTTGGGGACACCAATGCCGTACTGTTGGTGGTTAGCAGCCGTGGTTTCTTTTGAGGTGAGTCCCGTAGTTTGCAGTTCGTAGTATCGACGATCGTCAAGGGGGGACATTGAGTAGATAAAACCTTACCTGTCGGAGGAGGTCGGCAGAGAGGTACTCGTGAATGCTCAGAGCTCGTCGTTGTTGAACGCCGGGGAATCGAGCGGCAGGGGCAGCAAACTGGAGCTATTAACGTCAAGATTAGCAACTGTTTGTATATATCAAGCGCATCACCAAGCTTTTGTTTAGCGGGCGATAACTGGGACGTACCTTTGAGGCGCTGAGGGCCGAAGCCACAGCACGACTACGGCCGAGCTTGAACATTGTGACGGATAAAGGAAGAGGGGAGATTGGGGATATGATCGAGAAAGGGAGGGACTTTGGGGGGATAAAGAGAAGGGGAGAGAGAGAGGGAGAGAGCGGTTTAGATCGTCACAAGGAGGTAACAGTAGGTAGAAAAAGAGGTTTTCGGATGACGAGGAAAACCAAATCCACGAAGCTACGGCGCTCAATCAATCAGGAGCCTCAGACCGACCACTAACCTAGGCTTGTGCTCTGTGGTTTGATCCACTATTTTGGGCACGGGATTTGTCGGGCTAACTTGGAGACAGACGGGAGACAAGTAGGTATTAAGGTAGTTAGTACGGAAAAAGACATTCACCGATTTGATAATGATATAATAATTGTTGTTGTGTTTGATTGTGGTGCATTTCGTGTTTGATGATAACGCCTTTGTTACCCGTTTCTTGTCTCTAAAACTGAATCTATCTATCTACGCTCTGTAATAGACTCGACCTCAACGTCCTCGGCGATGCTACAAAATATATCGCTTCTCCGAGCAAATGACACGATATGACATGACATGACATGACAGCCAACATCTGTTCCCGCGGGCTCGTCACATTTGCATCGCATTGGATCTCGGTGACCAAGATCCATCATCTACCGTCTCAGGGCTCTGGTAGTTCCACTCTTTTACTAACCGCCAAACCTGTTCCAGCGCGGCACAAGACTACCGGGCTGTGAAAACCGGTCATGCAAATCCGTCTCGGGTGAGTCCAAGGTGAAGCACGAATAAAAAACGTTGTCGTTGGATACCAAAACGTCTCCGGGTTTCGGCTACAATAGGCTTGTTGTTGACCGTATTTCCCCCACATGGAAAAAGACGTCCAGTGATAGGATACCTGCCAAATGGAAGCCTTCAACTTCATCATGTTCTTTATTTTAGGTATACGAAATAGAGTTAATGTCTCATCAGAGACCAATTCATGTAAACCCGCTAAACGGTGTCCCGATAACCTTCCCCTTATCATCCCATCTCACTCCTTCGCCTCTCAAAAGCTTCCTCTTCTCATCAAGAGTGATTCCCTCACCATCTTTAGGCCACTTCCCCTTGAACCCACCCAGCGCACCTCCAGTAGCCACAACGCGGTGGCATGGTACTTCTGGTGCGAATGGATTCCGTCGCAGCGCATTGCCTACAGCTCTTGGTGACGACTTTAAATGCGCAGCCATGATACCGTATGTTGAGAAGCTCCCCCGTGGGATCTGGCAGAGAAGTGTCCATACACTCTTCTCGAATGGCGTGCGGCTGGATGCTTCGATGAGAGCTAGTTGAGAAGCTATGATTGTGGTGAAGTCGGCGGGCGAGGTTGGTGCAGTAGGTGATGAGTGCTTCTCGGTCTTTGTAACTTTGACTTTGCGATCTTCTTGGGGCTCTTCAAGAGATCGCTTGCTTTTGGTGATGGCTGCCATAGCGTTGTCTCAACAGCAGTGGTACAATGAGTGAAGCGCGTTGAACTATATGTAAGGGTAAGTTCCCAAGTTGTGGGTATTGGCTGTGTGATGGCTTGCAATGTCGGTATGAATTCAAAGAGTAAACGGAAGGGTCACGATTTAAATCACGGTCATTAAAGACGCGTCACGTCAAAGGGCGTGGTCGACGCCAACATCTAAAGCAACACATATCGCGAAGTCATGTGACCCACATCAATAGGCAGCCATACTGGTACATGCTGTACAAATGAATGGCTTAGATATAGATAATATGCCAGAGAATGTATAATAGCAAATACTTCCGGGGGGGAAGTATCTCTTCATCAGCGTAGGCAAAGTGACATCCATGATGTGGCTTGTAGTCTCTCGACTTACACAAGCTCCATACGCAGCTTATAGTAAAGGACAGTCATGGATACAGAGCTAATCAGCTATACAACAACATCTATATATCTATCTTTTCACATATAAAAGCAAAAAGAATTCATATTCATGGAGGATCGATAAAAGAATTGTCAAGATTGGAAATCTGACCCAAGAATCTTTCGATACCGCAATAACCCAGTTAACCGGACAAGACAACGTCTTGAGTGCAGCGCCTTAGAACACCCGGCCATCTTGACCTCATCCGAAGATGTGATTGATATAAGCAAGAGAAACAATCCGTCTGCCGACTCGTCTACTCAATAGCTTCTACTCTGTATCCCAGATGGAACAGAGCGTCTAATTCACTTGAGAACAGCTGAATCTCTCCAGTTCATTTAACAACATATGTCAAACTTCTTCTCAGTATTAATAGTCTGGTGCTTCGCGAGCTACGTCGTCTCACACATCGCAAGTCTTCCGTACTGAGCGTCCTTGCTCTGATGCTTGACACGAGAACAGAGGGCAAAGGGAAGTGTGACAGTAGTGGATTCAGTATGTGACCCATGATATCATTTACACAAGTTCATCATTTCGATCTACAAAAGTTTCCCTTAATCGTGTCCATATCATTATTCCATGTCTCCTCATTTCTGTACCAACAAGCGGCACGGTGGTATATATGTATGTATGTATGATGTTTTTCTCAAACAGAGGGAGGTGATGTCTCCAATCTAAGCCAACGCCAATGATTATGCCGATCCTAGTTACGGGGTTACCATGCCTGCTCCCGACGGCTCCTGTTTTTGGTTTTTACAAGACGCGACTCGCAAATGCTTCTATGCATGCTGTTTCTCGCTGAACTTTGATCATTTCCGGACTCTCGTGTCTCTTGTGCTGAGACGACGGGATGGTTTTTAGAAGATCCCTGTCGTTCAAGCATGAATGACGTCGTCTCGTGAGTGATGTTTTGTTTTCGTCTTTACTGATGCGATGACCAAACTGTGGCCTCCATTCTAGACCATGAAGGACTCTCCACAGCCGCATTCCTCCTCTGGAAGGCCTGTTAGTACTATGCCGGTCTGTGGCTCTTGTGGCAACTTACTGATGTTCGGGTTCTTAAACACAAACCGTTGGTTCAGCTTGTCCTCAACATAATCCATCTCACTCCCAATGATGCTAAACAGCGCCTTGCTATCAATCAAGACCTTGACGCCATCTTGCTCAACTGTCCCGTCAAAAGCACCGGGCTTATCGACGTATTCAAGATGATAGGCCAAGCCACTACATCCTCGGTTCCGTACTCCGACCTTGATGAGCTTCGGTTCCGGCTGATCCAGCAATTCTCGCAATTGCTCCACCGCAGAGGGTGTCAACTTCATAGCGGCCTTGCGCGGTCGTAGCTTAGGTCGTGGTCTAGCTGCCTTTGGCTTCTGAGCTTCTGTTTCGCTGAGCTTCGGAGCTGATGCCGATGTGGCGGGAGTAGCATTATGTGTTGGCGCGGGTTCTTGTTGCTTAGGTGGTTGAGGATGCTGAGGTTGCTGAGGAGGAGGTCGTGTCTCGTGGACTTTAGGAAGAGGATCAGGTTGTGTTATTGAAGTTTCAGGAACGTCGTCGTTTCTCGGAGGCGTCGAGGTATGTGTTGGGAGAGTGTATGAGTGGTAGGACACAGCGAGAGGTCTCGACGTTGAGAATTGCCTCAGGGGGCATCCTCGTCGCAGGGCGATTCTCGTTATCGATCTTGAGGCAAACATTGTGGACGCATGTGGTGGTGATGTTGAGGTTGAGGATTGGTATCAAGAGAGGCAAAGGTTTAGTGGATGGATAGTGGAGGCTGATGATTTCAAAGCCCGGCTCCTCGGTGCTAAAAGGCGTTTGTTGCCGGAGACCGCTGGTACGTCAGAATGGCTCCCCGATCTTGTCCGAGCGAATCAGAGTGTGATAATTTGTCAGGCTCACGTGATGTTAATGGCCAGATTCAACAAAGGAGGACGATGACAGGCATGGCAATCATGATAAACAATGGCATCGGAAAGAGATCATAATGGCCTTTCTACTTCTTTGACAATTGGTTTGTAATGTAGGTTTGCTCGGTTTGGAACGTGCTGTCCAGAGAGCTCATATGTAGTATTACGTGAAGCTGGAATGCAACGGTTTTTGTGTTGATCCTATATCACAGAATGGCCATCAAGGTTTGTAATTTTGACAACCAGTCAAATAATCCAAAATAAATTGCTTACATAGTACGGAGTAGGACAGCCGTGTATGTAGTTTTCTGAATAGACTTACGGATAATAGGCATAAACTGTGGCTTAATTAGTCGCCGCTCTGCTGGGGGTTTTGCGTATACCAGATTCATAAGCTGATATGCGTGTCGCCAAATGTCAAAACGACAGGCTGTGCACCGGCATCTGTTGTGCTGTAATCATCATGCACACTTTATTTAGCTGCCATTGTCAAAGCAGTACCTTGCATATCAAAACAACCCTATCCAATAGCTCCCCTTCCATGCCACACAAGAACACAAAACGGGGGACGGGAACATTTATACACAAACCCATGTAATAGAACGACACCAAAAGTACCGTGGATACCAGTTAACTGCAACAAGTCATGGGTACCGAGGACACGGATCGTCAATCATGACCCATGCATCAGAAGCGATTGTTATATGCAGGCTCGCTAAACAGAGTTGCAACCAGATCAATGACAGTTGTTTATCTCAACAACGTAGCATGCATATCAGTTACATAACTATCGCTATCACGATGCAGCAAGGCCCAAGACTCCATTCCGATATCTCCAACCCCAACTCACTGTAACCAGGTAATCAATCAGTGGATCGCTTTATCTCGGTTTACCTGCCTGCTCAGAAGGAACACAACAACCCCAACAAAATGCGGCTGAAGTGAAACGTAGTTTAAATCCACGAGTGTCAAATCAGGCAGGCCGTGGAACCGTTCGACGTGAGATATCGTGGTATCCGCAGTCTGGGCGAAACGTTACATGCGGATATAAATTAATTGGACCTGTGGTCAGAGCTTGGGGGAGATAGCTAAGACTTGGGGTTATCGTGATGAGTGAGTGTCGGATGTTACGAGAGGAACAAGGCATTGCCGGAGCCAGTGACATATTTCTAAAAACAAGATGGCAAGATGACAATTTTCGTAATGAGAGTTGCATCTTCGTATTGGTATTTCTATGTATATCTTGGGTGTTGTGACTTGAGAGACACAAAACGGTTGGTTATTGGCGAACCGTTCAACTGGTTAATTACGGGCAGTGAAGTCTGGAGATTCGGTGCTGTTTAGCCAATCACGGAGCTTCACAATCGGGCCTTTCCCCTGGAAGACCCTAAGAAGGCAGCTAAATTGATCTGGGGTTTGCAGGCAACTAAAAATGCTCAACGGCTTGTCTTGAAACGGCATCAGAAAAGCAACCATGAATTCAACATTGAAATGTAAATGCTACTATCGCCAAGAAAGTTATCACCAAGTTCAACTTGCAGATGATTCACAATCTATGACCTCAGCAGCCCAAGCCAGCCACTCTCATCTCAGCCTGGCAATCGAATCCACAATTGTTCTCACAAAGCTAAAGTCTGGTAGAACGTTACCAATGGGGCATCTGTGACATCCACGAACGTTACCGTTAGGGGACGCCACTGGAGCTCGATAGCCTCTCATGTTTGAGAAGTGCTACCCCATGGAGACCTTGGCTTTTGATCTTGTGAATCTGGGGAATACCGTGGACGTTTTGGGAGTGAGTTTGAGGTGACATTTCTGAATGGAGTTTCTGTGGTGGTTGAGATGATACGAGTTTGAAGACTTGGCGGTTCAAAGCAGTGAACTAGCTCTCTATCGAGGGTATCGGAATTGACCTTTTCGCAGAGCCTCAACTCTCGGTATCAATGTCTATTGTTTATATGTAATACCTGACGATATCTTCACAAATCAACATCTAAAGATACTGACTGCCATCGTCGGCCTCGGCCGATACGTTGATAATAATGGAAAAATACCTTACGCCACCTCACCCACTGTAAGCGGATCAACACCCTCCATCCATTGTTGCATCTCCCCATTAACCCCCCTGTAACTAACCCGCACCACCCTCACAATTCATTCCCCATCTTCCATCCAATCCATCCCATCTCATCCACTCTCACCACTCGACGAGACCCCTGACACTCCATTCTCTCTCTCCTCTCTTCGCCTTCTCGTGATACACACAGTTCCCCAATTGTAACTATCAAGGACGGGCAGGGGTCGGTTCTAGTTTATTTTTGGGGTGACCCTCACGATAGAGTACGTCGCGTGCCTGGATCTCTCCATCTTTTCTCGCGACTACTTTAATTCTGCTACATCCGGGATTTATCTAGGTTTCTTGGATCTCATTCATTCATCTTCTGGTCTTTGATTGTCTAAAGAAGCATATCAATTGTCTTGTACAGGGCATTGACCCTCATCTCAACATCAACACACAACATGTCTACTCACGAAAAGGAAAACCCCATCGCCCAAGCGGCTTCAGAATCCGCAGACTCAGATACACCAGGCTTCCGCCCCAAAGGATGGATGTACAAGACCGTCCGTATCGCTGGCGTTGACCTCTGGTACGCCTCGCCCAAGGTCCAGCTCCTCATGGTCTCCATCGTCTGCTTCTTATGTCCCGGCATGTTTAACGCCCTGACTGGTCTCGGAGGTGGCGGCCAAGTCTCCAATGAAGCCCAGGACCACGCCAACACGGCTCTCTACAGCACCTTTGCTGTCATTGGTTTCTTCGCCGGTACCTTCGCAAACAGGCTTGGACTTCGTCTGACTCTGTCCATTGGAGGTCTGGGATATTGTGTATATGCTGCTTCGTTCTTGTGCTATTCGCATACTCAGAACATGCCCTTTGTCGTCTTCGCTGGTGCTCTCTTGGGTCTTTGCGCTGGACTTTTGTGGGCTGCTCAGGGATCTATCATGATGTCTTATCCTCCTGAGCAGAGCAAGGGACGATACATCTCTTGGTTCTGGGTCATCTTTAACATGGGTGCTGTCATCGGGTCTCTTGTGAGTACCTCTTGGACCTGGATTTTGAAGTTTTGTAGTCACTAACATATTCTAGATCCCCCTTGCTCAAAACATCAACAAGAAGGCTGGCCCCGTCTCCGATGGTACATACGCCGCTTTCATCGCTCTCATGGCCATCGGTGCCATCCTCGCCCTCATGATCTGCGACGCCGACAAGATCGTTCGCGAGGACAACACCAAGGTTATTGTCATGAAGAACCCTTCATGGAGCACCGAGATCAAGGGTCTCTGGGAAACCCTCTCCCACGCCCCCTGGGTCGTCCTCCTCTTCCCCATGTTCTTCTCCTCAAACATCTTCTACACTTACCAAAACGTCAACATGAACCTCGCTCAGTTCAACGTCCGCACTCGCGCTCTCAACAACTTGCTCTACTGGCTCGCTCAGATCTTTGGCGCCCTTATTGTTGGATACGCTCTTGACGCATCTAGCGTCCGTCGCAGTGTCCGCGCAAAGATCTCTCTGGTCGTCCTCTTTGTTCTGACTTTTGCTATCTGGGGTGGTGGCTATGCCTGGCAGAAGGATCAGCGACCTCGTGAGATCGCCATGAACCCTGCCAACGAGGATGACAAGATTGACTGGGACGACGGTGCTCACAAGTTCCTTGCTCCCATGTTTCTCTACTTCTTCTACGGCTTCTTCGATGCTGCTTGGCAGACTTGCATCTACTGGTACATGGGTGCTCTCTCCAACTCTGGCCGCAAGACAGCCAACTTTGCTGGTAAGTCCCAATCATCACTTGTGTCCATGCCAGAGTCCTAACTCATCAAACCAGGTTTCTACAAGGGTATCCAATCCGCCGGTGCAGCCATCTTCTGGCGTCTCGACGGCCTCGGCAAGCCATTCGACACCATCTTCGCCGCTACATGGGCCTGCCTCGGTGCTTCACTCGTCATTGCCGCCCCCGTCATCTTCATGAAGATCCAGGACTCCGTTTCAATTGAAGAGGATCTTAAGTTCAGCGACGAGAAGATCGAGGATGTCATTGTCGCACCTACAGATAAGAAGATTGCCCTCACAGAGGCGTAGATAAGAGAGATATAAACAGGACTACTATTTATAAGAATACTTAATAATATAATGATATGTCGGCGTTCAGTATGTATGCATTGGGGAGCTGGATGGGTACGCTGCCTATGGATTGGGTTATTGCTTGACAATGTGTTACATTGCATGAAGCGAGTTAAAGATTTACGTGTATATCTATAGAAATACATATGCCATCCGCGGTTTTCTCTTCATTTGCCTTCTTACATACAATTGTAACTCTGTCTTTATGCTCAAAGTCACGACCATGCATTTGGGCTCGCAGTAAAGTCACTTCAACTTAGCAGACACATTACATCACAGTTGCAGAGGAAAACATGTTTCAAGGAGGATAGATCCTAATTCTTCTTTTTGTTCTTCCTATTCTATTGCAGAATACATCCATTTTGTCTTTCTTTTCCATCACCTGTCCTGCCTGTTCAGTCCTTGTTTCACCAGACTCCTTTCCCAGAAGTTCAATGATGAATAACAAACATGATACGACAGGTTGCCGTCTCTTTTTCATACAGTAAGAATCAGATACACTCGTTTTCGCGCCGACGGCGTTTGAGAATACATTAAAGAGAAACCCAAGAATTGGAGAAAAAAATAAAACAACCCAGGCACCCATGAATCGTTCGCAAGCCGTTTT